GGGTTTATTAATCTCATGTCATTTGTGAACATATCTAATTTTACATCCTTTTATTTTCAAATTTGTATAATTTTTCTTTTTATTGACTAATTTATCTGGGTAGAACATCCAATACTTTGTGGCTAGAAGTGATGGAACTAGGCACCCTTGGTTTGTTACTGGTTTTAGAGGCAGGGTTTTCATCTTTCACCACTGATAATGATATTAGCCATGGGTTTATAATTTTAAGGAAGTTGCTTTCACTTATGGACTGAAATGTCTTCCAAAAATTTGTCTTTTGAGGTCATAACTCCCACTGTATCAGAAAGCTATTCTATTTGTAGATAGGCTCTGTATAAAATTAATCAAATTAAAATGAATTTATTATTGTTGGGCTCATATCCAATATGTTTAGCAGCAGTGATAAAAAAATGAAAAATTTGGAGACAGATAAGCAAACACAGGGAGAATGCTATGAGAAGATGAAGACAGAGAATGTATTCATGCTTCTACAACTCAAGGAATGACAAAAATGCCACCAAAACACCAGGAGCTAGGGAAGAATTATAGAACAGATTCTCCCTCAAAGCTCCCAGAAATAACCAACCCTGATGACACCTTGCTTCTGTATTTCTAGGCTTCATAACTGTGGGAAAATTAATTACTGCTGTAAAGCAACCTAGTTTGTAGTATTTTGTAACATTGGTCTCAGCAAACATACCTCCAATTCTAATTTAATATCTTTAACCATAAATGGTGTTAAATTTTGTCAAATATTCTTTCTGCAACTATTTAGGTGATCATGTGATTTTTTCCCTTCATCCTTTTAATGTGGCATATTACATTTATTTTTATATATTCAACAGTCCTTGCATTTTGTGAATAAACTCCATTTGACCATGGTGTATAATCCTTTTAATATGTCGGTGAATTCAGTTTGCTAGTATTTTGTTGAGGAATTTACCATTAATATTGATTAGGGATACTGGTTTGCTTTCCTTGCTGCGTCTTTGTCTGGCCTTGCTATCAAGGTAATGCTGAATTCATAGACTGAATTAGGAGATATTCTCTCCCTTTAATTTTTTTGGAAGAATTTGAGAATGATGTTAATTCTTCTTAAATATTTGGTAGAATTCACCAGTGAAGCTGTCAGGTCCAGGACAAATCTTTGTTGAGCATTTTTTTTTTTAAAGATTTTATTTATTTATTTTGAGAGAGAGAGAACACATGAGAGGGGATAGGGTCAGAGGATGAAGCAGACTCCCTGCGGAGCAGGGAGCCCGATGCGGGACTCGATCCCAGGACTCCAGGATCATGACCTGAGCCGAAGGCAGTCGCTTAACCAACTGAGCCACCCAGGTGCCCTGTTGAGCATTTTTTTTATTGCTGTTTTAATATACTTACTGTTTATGTCTATTTAACTTCTCTATTTCTTCATGATTCAGTCCTGGTAGCTTGTTTCTAGGACTTTTTCCATTTAGTGTAGCTTATCTTATTTATAGGCATACAATAGCTCATATTTATATAATTCTTTTTTTAAATTGTTTTATTTCAGTTGCAATATAGTTAAAATATGGTGTTATATTATGTCAGGTATAAAATATAGTGGGGCGCCTAGGTGGCTCAGTCATTAAGCATCTGCCTTGGGCTCAGATCATGATCCCAGGCTCCTGGGATCGAGCCCTGCATCAGGTTCCCTACTCGGTGGGAAGCCTGCTTCTCCCTCTCCCACTCCCCCTGCTTGTGTTCCCTCTCTTGCTGTGTCTCTCTGTCAAATAAATAAAAATCTTAAAAAAAAAGAATTTATAAAAAAAATAGTGATTCAACTATTTCATACATCACCCAGTGGTCATCACAATAAGTACACTCTTTAATCCCCATCATCTATATCTTCCAGCATCCCACCCACCTCCCCTCTGGTAACCATCAATTTGTTCTCCAAAATTGAGTCTGTCTCGTGGTTTGTGGCTTTCTCTCTTTTCTTTTTGCTTTGCTCATTTGTTGCTTGCTTTTTTTATTTCTTAAATTCCACATATGAGTGTAATCAGATGCTGTCTTTCTCTGACTCTTATTTCACTTAGGATTATACTCTCTAGCCTCATTCATGTTGTTGTAAATAGCAAGATTTCATTATTTTTATGGCCACATAATACTTCTTCTTTATCCATTCATCTATCAGTGGAAATTTTGGCTGCTTCCATGATTTGGTTATTGTAAATAGTGCTGCAATGAACATAAGAGTACATGTATCCCTTCCAATTAGTGTTTTTATATTTCTTGGGGTAAATAGAAGTGTGATTACTGGATCATAGGGTAGTTCTATTTTTTAATTTTTTGAGGAACCTACATACTGTCTTCCAGAGTGGCTGCACCAGTTTGTTGTTTCACCAACAACAGTATAAGAGGGTTCCTTATTCTCCATGTTCTAACCATTTCTTATTTTAGCCATTCTGACAGATGTGAAGTGATATCTCATTGTGGTTTTGATTTACATTTACCTGATGATGAGTGATGTTGAGCATCCATTCATGTGTCTGTTATCCATCTGGATGTCTTCTTTGGGGAAATGTCTGTTCATGTCTTCTGCCCATTTTTTAATTGGCTTATTTGTTTTTTAGTATGTTGATTTTTTTAAGTTTTTTAAAATATATTTTAGGTACTGACCTGTTATTGGGTATGTCATTTGCACATGTTTTCTCCCATTCCATAGGTTGTCTTTCAGTTTTGTTGATTGCTTCCTTTGTTTTGCAGAGCTTTGTATTTTGTTGTTCTCCCAATAGTTTAATCTCTGCTTTTATTTTCCTGGCTTCAGGAGATGTCTAGAAAAATATTGTTATGGCACATGTCAGAGAAATTACTGCTGATACTCTCTTCTAGGATTCTTATGGCTTCAGTTCTCTCAGTTAGGTCTTTAATCCATTTTGAATTTATTTTGTGTATGATGTAAGTAACTGGTCCAGTTTCATTTATTTGCATGTAACTGTTCACTTTTCCCAATACATTTGTTGAATAGACTTTCTTTTTCCCATTGCATGTTCTTGCCTCTTTTGTCAGATATAAATTGAGTCAATATAATTGTAGGTCTATTTCTGGGCTTTCTATCCTTTTCATTGATCTATGTGTCTATTTTTGTGTTGCTACCCTACTATTTTGAATACTACAGCTTCGTAATATAACTTTAAGTCTGGAATTGTGATATTTCCAGTTTTGCTCACCTTTTTCAAGGTTACTTTGGTTATTGGGATCTTTTGTGATTCCACAGAAATATTAGGATCATTTTTTCTAGTTCTGTGAAAAATGCTCTTGGTATTTTGGTATGGATTGCATTAAATCTGTCAATTACTTTGGATAGTATGGACATTATAACAAAATTTGTTCTTTCAATCCATGAACAGGGAATATTTGTTCCTTTTTTTTTTTTTTCAGTTGTCTTCAATTTTTTAAATCAATGCTTTATAGAGTATAGGTCTTTTACCTCCTTGGTTAAGTTTATTCTTACCTATTTTTAATATTTTTGGCGCAACTGTAAATGGAATTTCTTAATTTCTCTTTCTGTTGCTTCATTATTAGTGTATAGAAATTCAGTGAATACTGCACATTGGTTTTGTATCCTATAACCATACTGAACTCATTTATCAGTTTTAGTAGTTTTTTTGGTGGTTTTTAGGATTTTCTATATATAGCATTACATCAATTGCAAATGGTGAAAGCTTTACTTCTTCCTTACTAATGTGGATTCCTGTTGTTGTTGTCTGATTGCTGTGGTGAGGACTTCCGGTATTATGTTGAATAAAAGTGGATAGAGTGGATATCCTTGCCTTATTCCTGATCTTAGGGTGAAACTTTCAGTTTTTCACCATTGAGTATGATGTTAGCTCTGGGTTTTCATTTATGAACTTTATTATGTTGAGGTATTTTCCCTCTAAACCTACTTTGTTGAGGGTTTTTTTTTTTTTTTTATCATGGACAAGTGCCATACTTCATCAAATGCTTTTTCTGTATCTATTGAAATGATCATATTGTTTTTATCCTTTCTCTTATCAGTGTGATGTATCACGTTAATTGATTTGTGAATACTGAGCCACCCTTACATCCAGGGAATAAATACCACGTGACTGTGTTGAATATTTTTTAAGTATCTTGTTGGATTCGGTTTGCTAAAATTTTATTGAGGATTGCTACATCTATGTTCATTGGAGATGTTGACATTTATTTTTTTTTTTTTCATAGTGTCTTTACATAGTTTTGGCAACAGGGTAATGTTAGCCTCATAGAATGAATTTGGAATCTTTCTTTTCCATTTTTGGAGTAGTTTGAGAATAGGTATTAACTCTCCTGTAAATGTTTGCTAGAATTCACCTGTGAAGCCATCTGGCGCCGGATCATTTTTTGTTGTTACTTTTTGATTACTGATTTAATTTCATTGCTGGTAATCAGTTTGTTCAAATTTTTTATTTCTTCCATTTTGGGAGGCTATATGTTTCTAGGAATTTGTCTATTTCTTCTAGGTTATCAAATTTGTTGGCATATAATTTTTCATAATATTTTCTTATAATCCTTTGTATTTCTGTCATTTCAGTTGTTATTTCTCCTCTTTCATTTCTGACTTTAATTATTTGAGTTCTCTCTCTCTCTCTTTCTCTCTCTCCCTTTGATGAATCTCACTAAAGGTTTAAAAATTTTGTTGACTTTTTCAATGAATCAGCTCCTTGTTTCACTGATCTGTTCTATTCTTTTTGTTTTTGTGTTTTAGTTTCTATTTATTTCTGCTTTAATTTTAGGTTGTTTGAGATTTCCCTTGCTTCTTGAGGTAGGCCTTTATTACTCTAATCTTTCCTCTTAGAATAGATTTAAGGCATCCCCAAAATTTGGGTCATTGGGACATTCATTTTTATTGCCTCCATGTATTTTTTAAAATTTCCTCTTTGATTTATTTGTTGACCCATTCAATGTTCAGTAGCATGTTATTTAACTTCCATGTGTTTGCTCTTTCCAGATTTTTTCTTGTGGTTAATTTTTAGTTTCATAACAGTTTGGTTAGAAAAGATGCATGGGATGAGAGGCTACGGATCAATTCACTCAGGAAGAATACCATTTTGCCAAAAGATCTTCAGGAAGTGGCCGATGGAGAAATTGCTGCCCTTCCCCGGGATAGCTGCCCTGTTCGAATCCGAAATCGGTGTGTTATGACGTCCCGTCCACGTGGTGTAAAGCGGCGCTGGAGGCTTAGTCGTATTGTCTTCCGTCACTTAGCAGACCATGGGCAGCTGTTGGGGGTCCAGCGAGCAACATGGTGACCCGCTCCAGAACCTACTGAGCAGGGAAGCCAGTTCTGGCAAGAAGAGGCTTCTCTAATAGACAAAAACCTAGTTTTGTAGGGGTCCAGTATGGGAGTATAGTCTACCTGATGCTGCCTACGGTTAAATTACCTTTTAATTTTAAATTAAGAAATTTGGTGGATGTTTCAGTCAGTGAATTCTGGCTCTCTGTGAATTATCTCTTCTCTTGGACTTAAAAATTAACCATACTGTTTCCATACATACTACAAGGAGTAGAGTAATAAAAAATATTCTGTGAAAATAAAAAAAAAAAAAGAAAAGAAAAGATGCATGGAACAACTTCAGTCTTTTTGAATTTGTTAAGCCTTGTTTTATGGCCTAATATGTTATCTATTAAGAACAAAGTTACATATGCACTTGGAAATAATGGTATTCTGCTGTTTTAGGATGGAATGTTCTGAAAATATCTGTTAAATCCATTGTTCCAGTATGTTATTCAAAGCCACTGTTACCTTGTTGATTTTCTGTTTGGATGATCTGTCCATCAAGGTAAGTGAGGTCCTAATGTCCCCTACCATTATTTTATTACTATTTTTAAAGGATTTATTTATTTTAGAGAGAAAGATAATGAGAGAGTGGGGTGGGGCTAAGAGGGGAAGATGGAGAGGGAGAGAGAGAATCCCAACCAGACTCCTTGCTGAGCACAGAGCCCAATGTGGGGCTGATCCCATGACCCTGAGATCATGACCTGAGCTGAAATCAGGAGTTGGATGCTTAAGAAACTGAGCCACCCAGGCTCTCCTTGATTACTGTTGATTACTTCTTGTATGTTTGTTATTAACTGATTTAAGTATTTGGGTGTTCCCATGTTGGATGCATAAATATTTACTATTATACATCTTCTTCTTGGATTGTTCCCTTAATGATTACATAGTATCCTTTTTTATCTCCTTTTACAGCCTATATTTTAAAGTCTATTTTGTCCCATATAAGTATTACTATCTTGGCTTTCTTTTCACATCCATTTGCATGATAAATGTTTTTCCATCCCTTCATTTTCAATCTGCAGGTGTCTTTAGGTCTAAAATGAGTCTCTTGTAGGCAGCATATAGATGGCTCCATTTACATTTGAAACAATTATTGATAAGTATGTATTTATTGTCATTTTGTTACTTGTTATATGGGGGTTTTTTTGTAGTTTTTCTCCATTCCTTTCTTCTCTTGCTCTCTTCTCTCATGATTAGTTGGCTTACTTATGTGATATGCTTGGATTCCTTTCTCTTTGTTCTTTGCATATCTATTACTGGTTTTTGATTTTTCATTAACATTCAGATTGCATATAACATCTTCTGCATATAGTACTCCATATTAAGTGGATGGCTGCTTAAGTTTGAACACATGCTTTGCTCCTCTCTTCACCACATTTTAGGTTTATGGTGTCATACTTTGCATTCTTTTATTTTGTGAGTTCCTTAACTGATTTTCTCAGATATACTTATTTTTTACTGCTTTAAAAAATTTTTACTTATTTATTTGAGAGAGAGAATGTATGCACAAGAGAGAGAGCACAAGCAGGGGGAGGGGCAGAAGGAGATGGAGAAGCAGACTCCCTACTGAGCAGGAAACCTGATCCCAGGATCCTGGGATTATAACCTGAGCCGAGGGCAATGCTTAACTGATCTACCCAGGCACTCCTGCTTTTGTGATTTTTACTTTCCTCACTCTTGCTTATGGTCTTTCCTTTCCACTCAAAGATTATCCTTTTACATTTCTTATAGGGTAGTTTAGTTATCATGAACTCTTTTAACTTTCGTTTGTCTGGGAAACTCTTTATCTCTCCTATTCTGAATGATAGGCTTTCTATATAGAATATTCTTGGCTGCAGATTTCTCCCTTTCAGCACTTTGAATATATCATGCCACGTCCTTCAGGCCTCTGAAGTTTCTGTTGCAAAATCGTCTGTTATCCTTATGGAGTTTCCCTAGCATGTAACTGCTTTCTTTTCTCTTGCTGCTTTTAAAATTCTTTCTTTATTGCTACTTTTTGCCATTTTAATTACTATGTGTCTTGTTGTGGACCTCTTTGGGTTGATTCTGTTGAAGGTTCTCTGTACCTCCTGGATCTGGATTTCTATTTCCTTGCCCAGATTTGGGAAGTTTGCAGCTATTATTTCTTCAAATAATTTTTCTGCCCCCTTTTCTTTCTGTTCTCCTTCTGGGAATCCTGTAATGTTAATGTTATTACACTTGATGGTGTTACTGAGTTCCCTAAGTCTATTCTCATTTCGCATTTTTTTTTTTAATCTCACCTGCTCAGCTTGATTACTTTCCACTACTCTGTCCCCCAGGTCACTGATTCATTCTTTTGTTTTAACTAGTCTACTATTTTTTTTTTATCTAGTGTATTATTAATTTCATTTATTGTATTCTTCATCTCTGATTGTTTTTTTCCTTTATCTCAATGTTAAGGTTCTCACTGATGTCTTCCACTCCTCTCTCTAGTCCAGTGAGTACTTTTATGTTCATTACTTGAAATTCTCTATCAGCATGTTATTTATGTTCATTTCACTTAGGTCTCTCTCTGTGATTTTGTCCTGTTCTTTCATTTGGGTTATATTCCTCAGTCTCCTCATTTTTTTTTTCACTCTCTGTGTCTGTTTCTATGTGTTAGGAATGATAGCTATGTGTTTTGCACTTGAAAGTAATGGCCTTATGAAGAAGAGGTCCTGTAGTACCCTGTCTTGCAGTTTCCCCTGTTCACCAGAACCTGACACTTCAGAAATATCTTCAATGTGTGATGTGCATGCCCTGCTGTTATGTTTGAGCCACCTTTTCCTTCAGTCCAGTCATCTGCAATGGCTCTCTTTGACTGTTTTGGGTAGTGTTTGGTCCCTGTGATATTAGCGGGCCAGCCTGTGGACACTTTGACTTGAATTGAGTCAAACCAGGCATTTGTCAATGATCCAGTAACACCGAAATGCAGGACACTTTCCCTACTTTGATTTTTCAGAAGCTTTCACTGGTGGGTGGGGCTGCAGTCAGACTAGTTTTCTTCCTCCAACCAATTGCTGGAACCTCCATCTCACTGCTGTGTGTGGTTACCTTTCCATTTCTCTGAGCAAGAGTCACTTTGGAGTGGTGTTGGCCACTGTAGCAGCTGCTTGCACACTGCCCGACTTTGACACCACCCTGAAGGGGCACTGGCCAAGAATATATTGAAAAAGGCAGATCTACCAAAGCACAGCATGGCGGGGGGGGGGGGGGAAGGCAGGGTGGAATTGCTAGCAAGTTCTATGTACCACCATTCCTCTGTGGGAGGGACCCTGCCATGCTGGGACTGAAGTGCTGTCCAGAGGGGTAGATCCCTGTAAGCACAGTACAGTGGGTGTTGTGGTAAGGTGGTGGTGCTAGCAAACTTTGTGTAGTACCATTTCTGTGCAGGAGAGGTTCTGCAGTGCCTGGACTTAAATAGGGTGTCTGAATGGGTGGATTGGGAAAAGCAGAGTGTAGGGGTGGGGTGGCAATGCTAGCAAGTTTCTTTCAGGTGGCTGTGTGTTTATGTTGGGGCGAGGGTGAAGGAAATGGCGTTTGCCAGTTCCTTTGTTCTTGAAGGAGTTCCCTAGTGATTTCTGTCCCTCCAGGACATTATCTGAAATTTGTAAATAACTCTCCCTCCTGTATGCTCCACCACCCTTTCAAACTGCTAATTCTATACTATATGTCCAAAGGCTGTATGTTGTGCTGTCTCTTTAAGGGCAAGAACTTAGTTTCTTCTTGACCACACCACCTGCTCTCTCAGAGCTGAACCCACTGTTTTTTGTTGTTGTTGTTGTTTTTTAATTCCAGATTTTAAGTCCTGCTGGTTGTGAGACCTCATGAAATTTGGCCTCTCTGGTTTTCAAAGCCAAATATTATGGGGATTAGTTTTCCCTGGGCAAGCTCCCTGATGTGGGGGTCTGTTTCTCATTTCTTCATGTTCTTGGGTTTCCTCTCTCCCACAGACAGTCCCATGAGTCCTTTTAGTTCCTGACTGCATCTCTGCCCTTCTTACCATCCTCGATGTGGCCTCTTCTCTACTTTTAGTTGTGGAGTTTGTTCTGCCAGGCTTTGGGTCATTTTCAGGGTTATTTACACTGATGTGACTGTTATCTAGTTGGATCCCTGGGACAAGGTGAGCCTAGGGTCCTCCTACTGCACCATCTTTCCTGGAAGATTAAGTTTTATTGATTCTTTTCATCTTTTCTAAGATCCAACATTTATCTACATTGATTTTCTTGTTTTTCTCTTTTTTTAATGTTCTTGTAATTTGTTTATCTCCACTTTCAGTTTAATTAATTTCTTCTGTCCTCTCGCTTGGGATTTTGCGCAAATTTCTTCTAGTTCCTTTAAGGTGTAACAATAGGTTTTTGATTTGATATCTTTCTTCTTTTTCAAAGTATGTATTTTCTGCTATAAATTTCCTTCTTAGCTCTGTTTTAACTGCATTTCATAAATTTTGTTATGTTCATTTTTGTTCATTTATCTCCAGATATTTTTTAATTTCTCTTATGATTTTTTTCATTGACCCAGTGGTTGTTTAATATTATGTTCTTTAATTTCCACATATTTGTAAATATTTCAGTTTGCCTTATTTTATTTTCTAGTTTTAATACATTATGATAAAAAATCATGCTTCCAATATTTTAAAAATTTTACTAAAACTAATTTTGTGGCCTATATAGGATGAATCCTGGAGAATATTTCACATGCACTTGAGGAAAATTTACATTTTGCTGTCCTTTCATGTCATGTTCTATATCTACTAGATATAAATGATTTATAGTGATGCTTCATATCTTCTATTTTATTGTTTATCTTCTCTGTGGGTGTTCTACCAAAAATTGAAAGTGAGATATTGAAGTTTCCAAATATTATTGAAAAACTTTCTATGTTTGTCATCAATTTTGTCAGTGTTTGCATCATATATTTTGGAGTCCTTTTGTTTGATGCGTATGTGCTTTCAGTTATTATATCTTCTTGATGAAGTGACCTTCTTATCAATAATGATATTTTACCTTGTCTCTTGTTATAGTTTTTGAAGTAAGTCTACTTTGTTTGATATTAACATAGTTATCTCACCTCTCATTTGATTCCTATTGGAATGAATGCCTTTTTCTGTACACTTTCAAGGTATTTGTTCCTTTAGATCTAAAGTGGGTCTCTTATAGACAGCATAGTGTTAGATCATGTGTTTTCATCCATTCTACCAACTTCTGTCTTTTAGAGAGTTTAATCTACTTACACTTAATGTAGTTCCTGATA